GTGACTGAGATGTATAACACCAATTTTGCTTGCCAACAAAGCTAAATTAAATTTTGACTTGGCAGAAATAAATCAATATTAACAAAAGGCAAAAGCTGCCATGTGCTGTTACAGCACCCTCTTCTATTTCTTTTGCCTTTTTCCGTTTCCTTCCCCAATTCACATCCTGCCTCTGTTTTCACCAGTCACAATGGCCGAGGAAAGAAACAATGAAAGACAACAATACTGTCTTTGGTAGTCGTGCCTGTTATAACAGTATCATGTAACATGCTAATAGTGAACCAAAGGAGTGGAGAATTTAGAAAATATAGGTTCCAAGAGCTCATAAAAGAAAAAAGAGCATCATCAATTTCAGCCTGTTTTTTTCAAGTTTGAGAAGAATGAATGCCCAAGTGGAAAAGACTATTTCCATCTGCACAGATCATTGCATGCAATTGTAAAAAATGTTCATGATCATTGGAAGATTTCTACCCAAAAATGAAAGTAGTAAAGCACAAATTTCTGGTGTTTTTTGCATTTTACACAGCCTTTACATTTAGTATATTAGTGAGGGCCTAGAGATTCCAATCACAGATCAGGGGTCGTGCTGTTCTTGGCACTGTATAAACAGTAAGATTTTTTTTGCTGAGAAACTTACAATTTAAGAACAAGGCAAGAGACAACAGATAATTACAGCAAACAGAAAAGATGAGCATAAGGAAACAATGAGACAATGCTAATCAGTTACAGCTTGCCAAACCCTCACCAAGATTTTTGAAGACATCATGGCCCATGGATCCCTACAAAAAAAGACAAGTGGATAGTATTTGATGGGATGGTGAAGGGGAAGGCTCATGAGCCTTATCTCAAGCCAGCCATTGGCAGAACGCCATCATTTCAGTTTTGGTGCATCTCCTTCAAGCAAACTTCTATTTTACTTGCATATTTCCATGCATAGGTGACTGGTGGGGGGGCACGAGTAGGCATGTGCCCCCCCACTTCCAACAGGGCTGTCCCCACCGCCACCGCCAGTGGCTTCTGCAAGTGCTTGCCAGCCCCATCCCCACCGCCAATGCCACCAGCAGCTTCTGCAGGTGCTTACTGGCCCTGTCCCCACCACCACTTCTGGCTTCTGCAGGTCCCTCCCCCCCCAGATTCAAGAGGCACCAGTTGCCCATGTTTCTATGTAAAACATTTTCATGCAATCAGATATGCCAAAAACCCAGGGTCAAATTATATACAGTTATCCTGACTCTTCTATCTTAGCTTTTCCTCAGCATACTCTTCTATGTTTAGAAGTTCAGGCCTAGGTTTTGATAATTAGCTTTAGGGCAAAATGCAAGAGTACATGCTGTACTCAGAAGTACTGTTCACTAATAATGTTCTTGGGGTTACAGTTTAGGACTTCGAATCACATGCAATGCCTTCTGTTCCCTGTGCTCCCACCAGTTAGACAGGTGAGCCTCTCTCCCTGCCTCATTTCTCCTGGCCATTCCAAAATAGGGACATAATCGTCTCTCCTCATGATACTAGGGATGCATTTTGAAGTCATGATGGCAGGTACTAAAAATATGAAAAAAATATTATTTTCAATGTTTGAAGGTTAGAATCA